CACACACACACACACACACACACACACCTGTTCCTCTCTGATCTTTGAAGGCTGTGTATTAAATAACAACTGAAACTTTGAGCCGTGAGATATTTCGGTCAAGCAGAAACAGTCAGAAATCCATCTTTACCTGTATTGGAGTTGCCAGGGAATTCTTAATGTGAATACCTAAAGCTCTAAATTATGTATCCTCTCCTGTCTGCAAATGTTGGGAGTGCAGGACTGTCTGGTTCAGCAGAGGACGAGAATCATCATCATGTTAAGTTAATACAGATCCAGACAGGAAATGAAGCCTTGGTTTCTCGTTGTTCTCTCACTGCTCCCACAAGGTCAGAGTGTAAGTTTCACTCTGCAGCAGCACAGCAACACGTGTGAAATTTGCCCTGAGGATTGCTTTAAGGAGCAGGACTGTTGGGTAAAGGTGAGTGGGAGTATTGTGGTGGTCTATTGAAACTTCACCATTAAATTACTATGATGTGCTAAATATTTGACAGCATGCCTACTCTCATCTTTTCTATGACAAAGTGGAGAAAAAAATCGAATGATACTTCTCATGCTTTTATTATGAAATCCTGGGCACTTCACGACGTCACACATAATATTAGATTCATTTGATGAGTGTAGCTAATGTTCGTTATGTTATCAAGCAAAGAGGGAGCTGCAGTTTCATCTATATACTAATATTTTTCAACATTATTGTGCATGTAATTGTTCATCTGAAACCTTTTGAGGAGGTGATCGGTTTTGCAGACATGTAACCACCAACCACATGACAGTATTGTTTCATTCAGTTTGTATGTGTGACAATTATGGTGACGGTGTTGGACAGAGTGAATAAGGTCGCAGCCACACAGATCACTGATCACCTGACAACCACGTGGTGCAGTCTGTGGTTGTATCACGTGTGTGCATGACATCACGTAAGGATCCTCATCAGTAATGTTTTAAAGCAGCAGGTAGTTGTAGGGCATCCTGCTCCAGAGTGTTGGAGTGACACGGTTGGACCCACTTCATTGTGTTTCTGTAGTCCACTGTTTATTAGGACTGGCTCTGCCTTTGATTGTACATCTTTCCACTTCTGTGCCAATTTGGCCAGTCTTAAGCCATCAAGTGATGACATCTGTTACGTCTGCCATATTTAAACATTTCCTTGGCACCAACTTCATTTTGAGAAGTCATTAAAAAGTCACAAATGTCAGTGACATGGCCTTTACTTGAGCTTAAAGTGGGATTCAGTTTTTATTACATGTAATGACACTGCGGTGTCGCTCATTATGTGACAGCCGGGTTAGAAAGTTCAGGACTTGAAGGACTATCACATCTAACCCTTCTCTGCATTGCTGTTTCCCAGAGTTTCTTAGTTCCTACCAGTGTAATATCCTTCATGAATGTTTGACTGAATGTTACTGACAGCCTTCGACTTGATGTTGACAGCTTTTAGGGCATATGGGTAAATAGTTTAGACCTGTTTCTTTCCTCTCTCAATTTTCTCACCAAATGCAAATATGTAGCGTCTTTAAACATGCAGCCTGCTGCTAACACAGGGTGAGCGCATGAAACGTCTGGAGAAGAATAAAGAATACTGCAGGCGGCTCATGTGAAACAAGTCCTGCTCACTTCCAGAGTCGCTCTAATTGGAGGAGCTCTTCCAGAGAATAGTCACATCCAGTATCTCAGTGAGCGTTTCCCGATTGGTGTGGCAGGCCGATAGAGGTGCAAGGCCCTTTAATTAAGCAGTCAACAACATGTCGAATTAAATCCTCACTGAAGAATGTGGCTCAGTATTTACATATTCATTTGATTCAGTACTTATTGGGTCGTATACACACAGCATGATGACATTTGTAACTGCAGATAAATGCTGTACTGCTTAAATAGGTTGTGTGGCCTACTGTAGTATGGATAGTGGTCATATAACATGGGGCAGTCGTGCATGCACACTGCCCACGAGGTACTGTATGCACCATGACGCAATCAAAAAGAGCTGCACAGACTGGGATTCACAAAGCTCCGGGCAACTTACTGTAACAGACAAAGCAAGAGACCGTTTCCTGACGTGTAACGTTTTTAGTTTAAACTCACTTTCTGAAATCTGCTGTGAAAATTAGAAGCGAGTGTTTACTTTCACTCTGTGCATTGGTGTGGTGTCGGGTTGAAGGCTGGAGCTCAGCGTCTGACCTCTAAGGTGCTGCTGCTCTGAAACCCTTCTGACATGTAACCTATTAGAAGCTGCATACACGTGTGCTGTCTCACTTAACAGACATGCTGCAGGTATACAGGCCTGCACACTGGCGCTGACGTGTAATCTGTTAATCACATTGTGTGTGACATGAGCTGTGGGTGAGATGTTTGACACCGCCGTCTCACACAGTGTCTCTGGTAGAGAGATGTCCACAGCTTGGCTGGGATTCCTTTCAGGTGGCTTAAACTGTCACACACAGTAACTGAGCATGAAGGCACTCACATCCTGGAGCCTCAGACGCACAGCTTCACATTTTATATTGTGTCTGTATCTCCCTCAGACATTTCATTTCTGTGTCGGTATCACTTGTAATGTATTGACTGACAAACTGCTATTGATGTACGTGTCAACAGGCAGTAGGCATGAGGGAAACTGCTGTACAGCTGTGTACACTGTTTTCACAACTTCAAATTGCAGTCGGCAGTGTAGACGAGGCAAAAGTCGCTCTCAGCGTCTACAAATGACACGTCTGAGGTGTTTGTGATTTGATGGTCTCTCACTGCTTTAGTCTCTGATCTCTGTTTGGGTGATTCAGGTCTCAGTGCTCCTGTCTTAGGTTGTTCTTGGTAAACTCCAAAGCCATAATATGGAACTAAAACAGTCGCCCTTAAACTGCACGTCTGTGAATATCTATTCAAGGTTGGCTCCAAAATGAAGTCATTCTCCATAGATGCCACATTTTGCCAAGTTGTAGTAAAAGCACTTTGCCTGAGTAATATCTTATAATAAAGACGTGTTTTATCGTTTACTGGGAAACTGTGTAAAAAGATGGAAACCCAGGCTGTTGGTAGATGGGCCTGATGTGCTCACATCAGTCACAACATTAGGGATATCTGTTTTCACTGACATCATCAAAGCCAACGGTAGAAAAAAAAGTTTCAAACTGAGCTTTTGGCTGTGTTGCCGTATTTTTGGATCACGGTGGCTGGATTTTGTTCCGTGTGTGTCCTGTGCCTTTAAGAGTCTCTGCAGGTCCTTCCTGATTGGAGAGCTGGCAGCTGCTGATTGGTTCCATCATCAAGCGGCAGCAGACCCTCCTTGTCCTGCAAACCATCCATGACAAACTTGCATGTCCGACTTCAGAGAATTGCTAAGTTTTGTGTATATTGTTGTAGACAATCTGAAGCAGCAGAGGGGACCTGCCTTATTATTTTCTGTACTTTTTCTCTTGTTTATTCAGTTAGGGAGTTTGGGGGTAGTGCTGCTTTTGTTTGGTTTTCCCTTTTTGGAATAGCTTGTTTGCTTTATTATTTTGGCCTTTGTTCACTCCGGGTTAAAGATTTCAGTTTTTAGTAGCAATAAAATCACCTTAACCTGTAAATTGGCTTCTGGATGTGGCCTCGTGGACCGCGGCAGGGTCACTTTCCTTTAACCCTTATGTTGTGCTCCTGTAGCCCCAGAGCGGGACCCAGCAGGCTCAAGGAAACTGATGCTTAACTCATCTTTTGAACTTAAAATGAGCATCCACTTTTCCGACTGTATATATCTGACAGTAAAGAAGCAAAAGCATTAGGTTTGAAGTTACACCTAATAACAGTGTGTCCAGTTGAACTTACTCTCACTGGGTCTGATGGATACGGATTTATAGAGGAAGCTCTGGCGCTTTACAGGCAATGCTTTCAAAATAAATCTACAATGCGTGCGACAAAGATGGTGATACCTGTGGAGCGCATAAATCAGTTTCTAATGCTGTGTTTGCTTGTGTGTTTGTGTGTAATGTATTTTGTGCGGGCATGAAGTAATTGTGATGGGAGCGCGTTTCTCCCGTGAACCTTTGACCCTCATTACACGTCCTCTTTTCCTTGGTTACTGAGCTGTGATCAGACGTGAACGTCGAAGATCCCAGTCAGCGTCGGACTCCTCATTTTTGATTTTTGATTTGATATACCTTTATTAGTCCCACAAGGGGAAATTTCATAAGGCTGCCGACCTATTGCACGCAATGGCGGCGCCATCTTACCCTCCGACCATACATACATTACACAAACATCACATTGCGTGTGCGCTGGTCTCCTTGATCCACCGTCAGCATCGGAAGGGAACAAGCGTCGAAGGTGTTTGGAAAGGGAGGGGGGATGAGTGTGTGCATATCAGTGTATATGTATGTGTGTGCGTGTCCATAGTTCAGCTGAGACAGTGTCCTTCGCCCTGCCAGGCTAAGTAAACAGTCTACCAGCCAACCCAGGTGGCCTTGCATGGAATGGGAAGGAACAGACTAAACACAGTCGTTATCAGGGTGTTGTTGTTCAGCTCCAGCCTTGACCGCAGCTGGCGCCGAGAGGATATCCACATGAAGTGATGGTGCTTTTTACTTTAGTGCGAACAGCTCATATGAATTTCAAAGCTGTTCTAACAGTCCAACACTGTCCATCCCTCTCGTTCTCTCGTCTCTCCACCTCATCAGTTGTGAAGGGGCAGCTGTAATGAAGCTTGGGAAAGATCTGGAAACAAGGTTGTCTTTGCACTAATATAACATGGCGGGGAGGGAGTTTAAGAGACACCGTATTGATCAATTTCCCGATTTATGTAAATACTTTTTTGGCTTTCTCGTCAAAACAATGGAGGCCCTGTAGTGTGTTTCAAACAGCAAGTCCCTTAAACAAATGTTGAGGTTTTATGGCAGTTGGAAAGAACGGTAGCGACTTCTGTCTTTTATCACGCTCTCGCTTTATCAGATTGCAGTTGAAATGTTTAAAAGCCTGTCTGCCATCCATGCTGTGTTCATTTATTCTGAGCCTCTCAGTGGCAACTGTCTCTGAATGTTAAAAAACGCCTGACGGGTAAAATCATTTCCACCTTACCTCACAGAATTACTTTCTCTAGAGTCTAGTTTTTGAATCGCAAATAGCTTTTACGTTTCCGGAACAACCCCGCAGTTGAAGATTTGCCGTTGTACTAATCCATCTTAAAGTTTCTGGGCCTTAATAAACACCACAGAACAAGCTCCACTCACAGCACCACACCTCATGCTTCATCCAGGACAGGTGCCCCGTGGGACGGGCCGCCGCTGTAATGGATCCCTCTGTCAGTCTGGAGCTTTGTCAACTTCCCAGCCACCGTGGTCCCCTCAGCTTCACTGCATCAATCAGATGCACAGTCTCACTACATCTACACAACATTATTTCTCATTTTCCACCAACAGGGGGCAGACCGAGTCACTCATTGTGGGCTTCATAGGACATATTTGTATAGCCTCTAAATGCTCACGGCATACACACCTGCACAGTCAGACGCACCTTTTTAGGACTTCACCACATTAACACACCTGTTGCCTATTTGTCTCTGTTACAGATGAAGGAGGCTGATGAGTTGTTATCTGGACTAGTTTGTCCTCCTGCTGCTTCTTATACAAAAACACTCCAGAAATGGATGCAGGGGTCAGTCGTGTGGCATCAGTATCACTGTGTAATGTTATATCACATATCAGAGAACAGCTGGTGGCCAAGATCAGAAGGATGGTGAAGGTGTGTGTATGTGTGTGGTTGCAGAACCATATTAAGAGTGTGACTGACAGTCAGCCACACACACACACAGGCGCCCATACACCAATTAATTTTTCCATTCTGTCATCCAGCTCCCTGCCCAGCCCTTTTCCAATAACACACCTGCATGAGGCTCGATGCGGCGGTGTAGTATAGCCAGATTAGTTCCATGCCTCTCTGTTTGTAAAGGTAATATATACAGCAGGCCAGGTTGTGTGTGTGGGTGCGTGTGCATTTATGAGTATGGATATCTCCTCCAAAGCAGTTGTTGTGCCCTGCCACCTAGTGGTTCGCTGACTCTTTTATATGCAGAGCAGTGAACAGACGGATACAGTAAGGATCCAGCCTCCACAGTACAACGTGCCGAGTGTGCTCGTTAAAACCTCCCGCCCGACCTGCTGCCTACCGTTTGTTTCATTTGCCTTTATCATCAGAGTCATTTCTCACCACGTCCAAGAGGAACCCCTCTAATCTCTTGCTTCCTCCCCTCCAAGGAAAAGGAAAGATTACAGCTGTCTACAACGAAGTCCAGAGCAACATCTATAGCAGCGTTTTCTGCAGCTCTCTTTTGATTTGCAGTGCATATCCATCAACCCATGCTGACTCCCTCACCCTGTCACTTTCTTCTATGGGTGCTATCAGCTAAAAATAAGAACAATGACATATTGGGGCAGTTGTGAAAATATGGTTGTCAGTATGGTCTGACAGTGGGGTTTGGGGGGTTCTGAAAGTGACCGGCAACATCAGAAGCTACCCTTTAAAAAATCTGTGTGGAAGCGAACATGTGAAGTTTTTTCTGCTAAACAGTGATGTGCACTTTGTCACTGTGTGTGTGATACAGCAGAGCTCATCCTCTTACATCTCTGTAGCACTCACAGATCCATGTTCTTTATCCTGTTGTCTCTAATGGACAGTGGACGCAGGCTAACAGCTTTGAGAAGCAATGTTCCCGTCCTGATGAAAATGCAGCTATTTACTTACTGTAGCAGCACTGTGGCAGAAGCCCGTCCACACTGTTTGCAGGGCTGGAACAGCTGTGACTTATGTAACCGGCACTGTATTTGACCACGACCACGAGAAGAAAACAGTTTTAACGTGCTTCCATGCTCCTTTTATGCTAAATAAAATATACTGCCAGTGGCATCTGTAAATCTTTTTGATGTAACACCAATATTTTTTAGAAAAATCGCTAGAATCAAATATTTATTTTATTTCAAAAGAACACAAAAGAAAAGAAGTGTGAGAGCCAAAGCTGCTTAAATGGATGCACCTCACTGTTTAGAGTTCAGTCAGCATAATTCCTACAAACGCACACAGGGATACGTGACGTCTGCGCTGTGCTGTGTGTAGAGGCAGCTGTCGTCCAGTAGGAGGCGCCAATGCAGAACTTTACATTGAAGTCCCAATGATAGTGCAGGTGTAGAACTTACATGGCTGTGCTTTCAGCATTCAGTGGTAGTACAGAGGAGTTCATACGTTTGTTATGTCGGAGAGCAGTGTTTCATAAAGAAATAAATACATTCATCACTGCCTTCACCCAGCACAGATGGGCTCCGCAGCAGCGGGAGTGACCCTGACCTCTAATCCAACTCAGTGCAGTTATAACATTGAAGGAAGCGTTGGCCTTCACAGTTAGGTGTGTTTTCACATCTGATTACTTTGGGGCAGCCTAATCTCTGTTTACTGTCCTCCAATCCTCTGTCATCTCCTACTAAGCTGGAAAAAAGATCTTCCTCAGCAGTTAATCCTTCCTACCTTGTCCCTCTAAGCCTATCAGGGAAGAGTACTGTATGTCACGCCGTCAGTCATGATGATTAAATGAGTATCCTGTCTGCATGGCGAATACAAATGGGGAAATAAAACATTTGCTTCATTTCATCAGTCTGCACCGTTTTTTTGCATTACATCTATTTTTGATTGTTTTCTCATTTCGTCCATTATGTGCATGTATTTCTCTGGATTTTTAGTAAGCGTAATGACACAGTCACTGTTAATGTTTCAAGGTTTTCACCACAGGATCCACTATGCTCCAAGTCCGTACCAGTCAGTGCTGGTCGACTACCTGTACGCACATGTGGGAGATCGCCATAGCGAAAGGTTTATGGAAACATAAATCTAAACCACTTGAGTCATTTTTGGTACTTTTTGGCAGTGGATATATTGTAGAGATCAGTTGTGTTCATGCTGTCCCGCTGTCACCAGTGCAAGCTTGTAGGGGCTCGTATATCTTCCAGTGCAAACCACCGTGAGGCAGCTGTTTTTGTGATTTGGTTCCATATAATTGAATTGAATTCATCTTTACAAGGAAGGATACGTTTCTAATTTGTCCCCCAAAACCTTTCTGAATATTGGTAGGAACTATTTTCTCACTTATTGATAAATAATCCATCTGATTAATAAATCCAAGTAAGCTTTTAAATGTTATATTTCACAGTGTTTGTCCTTGTAGTTGTCTACACTGCTGTGTATGATGCTGGGCTATCCCTGGGTCTGCCATGTGCAGTTTGCTTTTTTATGTGTTTAGTGCATTGTAATAATCTCCTAGAGCTTTGTAAATCAGCAACGGTGAATCAGATTATCAGCTGGAACATGTTGAATTGGAATAAATCCAGGCGGAGCATTTAGATGAAATGGCATTTGCCCCGTTAACCTCAGAGCTCAGCTCGTTTCAGATGCTCTCGGAGGAAATCTTTCACAGTAGACAGAGACGGTATGAGGGTCAACATTAAGAAAGGTCTGATGTTCCTGAAGTACGTAGGCTTAATCCTCCATCTGAAAAATGTAGGGCACATGTAGACCTATATCTGTGGTAATCTGTCGCTGCTGTAATGCATCTGCTGTTTAATGTAAACCATCACCGGGTGCCTAACCACACACGGATTCTACCCCTAACATTTTCTAAACCCTTAAACAGCAATGAAACCTGTCAGCGTCCACCAGGTGGACAGTCACCTGTTACAGGTTGGGTTTATAGGCTTAGAGTAAGGTCACATCTAACCCGTCAGAAGGAAATTTCACCTATGTGGCAAATCCAAATAGAAATCTTATAAGAGAGCAACTTCTAGGGACAGAATAGCTGTAACTTGATTTGAAAGGTAACATATTCCCATTTTGATGCATGCTCAATCATCCGGTCTGGTTTTGCAGTCAGCTTTCTTCCTGTTAAAGGGAGCTTTTCCTTCTTGTGGTCGCCCCGTGCCTACTCATGGGGATCATGTGATTCTCAGGGTTTTCACTCGTATGCTATGGAGTTACTACCTTACAGTCGAAGCGCCTTGAGGCAACTGTTGCAGTGGTTTGCGCTATGTACATATATCTTCCTGATGTTGCTGTCATTCGGAATGTAGTGATTCCGAATGACAGCAACATCAGGAAGAAGGAACACGAGAAGCTTAAGAAGTACCAATGCTGGGGTACTTCTGAAGAAGCTGGAGAGGATGTGGAGGGTGAAAGTAACAGTGGTCCCCGTGGTAATCGGAGCACTCGGTGCGGTGACTCCCAAGCGAGGCGAGCGGCTCCAGCAGATCCCGGGAACAACATCGGAGATCTCTGTCCAGAAGAGCGCAGTCCTGGGAACAGCTAAGACAGTAATAACACAGTGGCTTCCTGCTGGGTGTTAATGAGGAGGCCCTGCAACCAGAGTGGGAGTCCAGGTTGCTTTTGTACTTCAGTGCATGCGTGCATTCATGTTAGTTAGTGTACATATTAGTAAATATTACTAAATCTGTCACCCACAAACTTTCCAGCTTTCCAAAGTGTTCCCATGTATACAGGAATGATCCTGACTCAAACATGGGACATGTAATGATTTCCTATTAGATTAGGAGCTAGTCCTCGGATTATTAATGTCTCTAATGTAATTATATCAGTGAGGGAAAGATTTAATCCACATTAATCTGTTGATAATATTATAATTTCAAGTATTTTTGAAAGAATCTGCTGGAGGAGACACAAACCCAAGCTGGTGCACTCCCAGTGCCAGTCCCGAACACAGACACACTCCATCCTGTTTCTTCATCAGTTCAGTGAATGAATATGAATGATTGTTCATATTTAACTCAGAAAAATAATAAAAGAGTTCAAATTACTTAATAGCTGAAGCATTATTGAAAGATCTTCTCAGACATATTCTCTGCAATATCTTTTACTTCTCACTCACTTTTTCACGGGACAGTCGCTTGCGGAGGAAAGCAAAGCTTTCAAATGGCTAGATTGTGTGCACGTTGTCCTTGCCACGTGGATGCAGAGCTTTGTAAAGCAGCTTTGGGGGTGATGCTCCAACACCTTCAGCGATTAAAAAAAGAGAAGAAGAAAAAAGCTACAAATGCACAGGGAACGCTGTTAATGACATGAATGGACACGACCCAGTGACTTATGAATGAACATCAGCCTGGTCATCTATACACATGTGCACATATAAGCACACATTTAAACTGGCACATGTTTATATGCGTCGCTGATATGGCCAGATGGTGTAATCCTCTACTTTCCCCTGGGTTTCATATTTTTTCCCCTCCTGTGTTGGGATTATGCTGTTGTCCAATCGGATTTCGCCCCACTCTCCAGCAATGATGTGAGATGAATGGCAGGCTGGTGGGTGGGTCAGGCAGGCATGCAGTAGATCCTGCACGTTGGGTTGCACGGAATACCCAAGTGCTCCATATTGCGAAAACTGCCACAGCTTCCGTTTGCGAGGGTGCTCACTGACCATCACTCTGCAGGTAAGTTGCAGACGGGCAGATCAGGTATGAGAGGGAATTTGAAAGAAACTTTGTTTGGCGTCCATGTTTAAAGGCGACAGATAAGAAAAGAAGGATTACGGTGCAAAACTAAAAAGCTTAAGTTCTCAAAACGCTCATGCACTTTAAGTTGATGTTGCAGACTGGATGCATTTCACTGTAGGATTTGCTGGTGTGATGTTTGGAATCACAATGTCAAGAAAAACAGATTAAAATGTATTTAAACAGCGTGCAACAGGAGGACATACTTCATGGATCATTTTCAGTAAAACAAGAATATTTGAGAGTAAATTTATTGGATTAAATCCTTTCTGTTCAACAAGAAAAGAAAAAAACAGTTCACATGTCCACTTTCTGTACTGTTTGAATCATGGCATGCATGTATGTATCATGTATTTGAAGTTTTTGGAATATTTTGCAGTTATATTTTCAGTGTGCATCTCATGATCTTCTTTGAATAGGGGCCCAGTGCTCATTTGCCACATAATTCAGTAACCAGTATCTTATATGTGTGGTTGAGCTTTTCTTAATAACCAAGTGGAACAACCTTATTTACATATATGATGGACTGATATGTTTGACTCAGTTCAGAATGTTTTTCATGTGTAATTTTGTATTATGTGCTGTCATATTCGGGATGTCTGTGAGGATGTCTGCTTGGAGATAAGATTCGTTAGCCAGACTGATACTTGAGTCGAGTTTCTGCTCATTTTCAAGGACAGAAGGAAACTCACAGATTTCACTGTGTACACAGAATGTGCTTAATAGATGTCCTGGAATTTCCTCCACTTTGATACTATGTTGCAACAGTCTTGTCTTCACTTCTTTCAGTCAGATCATCATTTTACATCACGCTGCTGATGAGGATGATGACGATGCTGCTGTGTGCATACATGCATGTTAATGCAATTGCAAGCTCACATTCATGGTGTCAAAAGCAGAATAGCAGCTTATTTTGTGTTTGTGCGACGCTCTCCTGTGTGTGGTTTCATTTCACGCTTACTTAGCTGTTTTAGCACTCGTGTGGCAGATTAGCCTCGTATGGAAGATGGTGTGTGAGCTGATTAAACACAGATGCACATTTAATAAGGAGAGAGAACCGTGTACTTTAGTATATTTGAGTGTGTGTGTGAAAGCAGGCCTTTGTAATTCACAGTGTGAAATGCACGGATGCATTTGAGACGCTCACACGATTCAACAAACTGATTATGTAGACGTTCACAAAGTCATTACACAAAGCTTGAACTCTGACTGAATTCTGCTCTTATCTGTGCTTTGATGTTGCTCCAGTAACACCACCACTGTAAAGTAATTTGAAATCAAGTTTTAAACCCAGCCTCGCTGCCTGTGCATGCCATCGTAACCTGCCCCATCTGCTGCTCTGCCCCCTGCAGGCCAGTGCATCCTGTGTATGGTGGATGTGGTGCCAGTGAAGAACGAGGATGGCGTGGTGATCATGTTCATCCTCAATTTCGAGGTCATGACAGACGAGTCTCTCCGAGACCACAAACAGGAGCTGAACCACCGCCTGCCCACCTGGCTCGTCACAGGTAACCACGAGCGCAACGTTTGATGTTTGTCTGTTCTTCTCTGTGCTTTTCCTGTAACGTCACCGTTTACACAAAGACAAGAAAAGCATCTCTGACGCCCTTATGTGAATGCAGCTTTCGTTTCTGTTATTACACCACCGGTGTCAAACATAAGGCCCTGGGCCACAATTGGCCCAGCAAAAACTCAAATCTGGCCCACTAGACAGAAAGTGTGACGGTGTGACCCTGTGGGAAGTAAAAAACATTAACGTTACTCTGTAACTGCAGTACAGTCGGGGTGATGAGCTACCACGACTTTTTCTTTCATTTCACCATTTTTTTCTTCCAGTTTAAGTCCAGAGAATCACACTGACACATTTCTTGTACTGCAGCAGCGTTTGTTTATCATGTGGAAAAATTAAAACTGTTTTCTTATATTTTGGCGTCTCAGCTAAATTTGTAGTTGAACAGAAAGGGCAGCTTCACTTGTCTGTCCCCCCTAATATCACAATGTTGTGTATGTGGCCCGTGATGCACAATGAGACAGCGTGCTCCACACAGCTGATTGTGTTTTCTCTTTGGTTTAGTGAGGTATAAGTAGAGCATGTGCAGTAAGTGTCGTTTGTGGCTCAGTGTGGAACATTTTCGGGATGTATTGCTGCTTATTTAATTCCCATGTTTTTTAATCCAAATTGGACGTGATGCTCACTTTGCTTCACCTGGATCAACTGTTCATTCTGCCTTCCAGATAGACCAGGTGGTCCTGCTATTATTAGATGCTTTTGTTCTTGTAAATCCTGAATATTTGTGTTAAATGTAGCTGTCGATCTATGCTCTTAATGTCCTAGAGGGATAACCCAGGGGAGCAGCATCTGGAATAGGACACAGCAATATCCGGAATCAAGTATCTCATAACTTTGTGGCTAAGCCCACATTTTAATCCGAGTTGCTGCCCCTGCATTCTGGTCGATTGGTTTTGCAGCTTTATTCTGAAGGCTGATGCATGTTTAGCTCTTTCTCTGTCCTAGCATGACGCCTACCACTGAAAACATGCTCCAGCTGTTTGTGCTTGTCTCACTATTCTAATATAATACCCATTTCTGCCATATTGGAGGTGCACCTGTCACTCTCCAGGTTAATAGTCTTATCCCTCCTCCGTCTCACCACCAGGTCGCCCACGAGGCTTCAAGCTGCGTCTCCCCCTGCTGCGCTCCCTGTCCAACAGCAAAGCTTCTCTGGACGACGCAGAGGCCGGACACATCCCCACAGCAACGCCGGTGTCGCTACACCCAGAGGACCACCGTAGCCCCGAGTCCTTAGGTCTGGGGGAATTTCTGCCCCTCCCCCCACTGCCACCAAATCACCAGGAGAAGCTGAGTGGAAGCAGGTAGATGCTTGATTTCAACATTACTGCAGAGATGAACATGTTCACATTCTAAAATCACTCTAAAGTTAATTTCAGCTTTAAGCTACATGTTGCTGCAGACACTGGCTGCAAAGCTGCCAGTGTCTGTGCCTCATCACCTCTGCTAACTCCAGTCACAGGAATTCATCTCTCGTGTTTATGGCCTTTTTGAGCTCATTGTGAAATTCTTTGACTTCAGTCAACAATGTCCAGTGTCCTGGCTGATTACCAGGACACTGGAGTGTCTCGGATCTGGAAATATTCATTGTTTGTGTTTCCCAGGTCAGCGCTACAGAGTTGGCCCGAAGACCGCCAGGAAGACCAACGCACCTTATTGTGCTCTGAGCCTCCAGTAGCCGTTCCACCACATCAAACTCACGGAGCCCACCTGGTGGGTCCCCTCACCCATTCCACACCCTGCGTAGCACCCCACCACCGGCTCAGCCTCAACCCCGAAGGCTCGGCCTCCAACTGTTCTCTGTCGCACAGCCGCTCGCGAGAAAGCTTTCACAGCATGCGTCGTGCCTCCTCCGTAGACGAGATCGAGGCCATGAGGCCGGAATGGGATCGGAAGAACCGGCGGCCAAGCATCCGGCCGGCCAGCAGCAGCACTGGTGAGAAGGCGCAGGTGGGATCAAATGTTTTCCTGCTGGTTTTCTTACCTGATCGTTGAACTTCATTTGCATATTTCCAGGTGCAGTAAACAGCAAGTTGAACATACTGAACTCCACGTCAGACTCTGACCTCATGCGGTACCGCACCATTTCCAAAATCCCTCAGATCACGCTCAATTTTGTGGATTTCAAACCGGACCCACTCATTGCTCTGCCCTCAGGGGAGATGGACATCATAGCACCCTGCAAACTCATTGACCGGACACACAACGTCACAGAGAAGGTCACGCAGGTAGGACACAGTCCATGTGCAGTGTGCCCGATGTCCAGCAGAGGCATTATTTTTGTGACATTTTGCCAGCCTGCATAAATCATTAAGACCCTGCAAGCCATTTGCGCTTGTTGTAAGTCTTTCAGGGCAAAAAGTGCTTGAGTGAAGGCCACTGACCGAGTTTCAAAGAGATGATGATGCTGAAAGGTGGTAGGCCAGTAATCTGCTTACTTCTAACAGTCCAGAGGCTAGGCATAAGCATGTACTTCTGCACACATGAAACACTGTATTTTTTCACGTAATTTGCTTAAAAAGACGCAATAGACACCTGTACTGAACTTCTAAAGGCAGGACAGGCTCATCGGAGTCGTTGTTCTGCTGTGCTACCAACTGCTGCATTTACCAAGCAAGGCATCTCACCCCAGATCAGCTTCTTGTCTACTTTGGATGCAGTTGAGGATTGTTTTTGTTTGTTTTTTAACTCAGAGGATGATGATGAGCCTGTGAGCTGGGATGTGCCATCACAGATTACCTGTCCTTGGCTCACAGTGTGCTGAGTCTTTGAACTGCTATATAGACTTTACATATGCATATTTCTGCGTCCCAGTATGTGTTCTTACAGAAGTGACATCTTCAGCTGATTGATATTTGCATAATAATCTGCTTTTTGTTAGCAAAGAAACGTTTTTATGTTTTTTTATTAACGCCTGAATCTCCTGCAAGATCCAGAGGGCTTTACTTCTATCAAAACGTTATCATGCTAAGGTGCAACATCAAAGCATGTGTGTGTGTGTGTGTGTGTGTGTGTCTGTGTGTGTACACGTGTATTAGCCAGTGGTGCCGTTATGATACACTGCAGATGGAGAAAGCAGTACCAGCTGTGTCTCCAAATGTTATAGAGTGCTATTTATAGAAGCTGTTAGAAGAAAGGAAAAATCACGAGGTGGTTTCATCAGCACATATACGTCTGACATCGGTGTAACCTCCCTCCTGCACGATTTTACTGAATGAGAAGAGAGAAGAAGAACAGCGGGGGGTCATGTGGAAGGAAAAGGAAATCCTACGAACCAAGAGCCCCTAATAACATCACATAGTTGCTGAGTGTTTTTCTATATTTGTTGTGAAGCCCCATACGTTCCCTAAAGTCCCCCAAAGAACTGCCTCTGCCTGCCCTCTGACCTCTGAACTGTGGAGTCCAGAGTCTGCTGTTTGTCAGTCTATTCAGGGATCAGTGTACCTTTAGACTCAGCTGAATGTACGACTGTGGTTGAGCTTTAAAGCTTCGTACTCTTCAGTCTGTGTGGCAAATGCCTGGCAAACAGGGCTTGTTGTGAGCAGAGCGCCTGCCTTTCCGGGCTGTGCCTGTAGATGGCAGCATCAAATAGGTGATGACAAGCGCAGCGATCCCTCGGAGCAGCAGAGGAGAGGATGCTGAACGGCAAACAAGGCTAAATAATTGACATGTTTCAAAAACATCTGATGTCCTGAGGAAGAACTCGTGCAGACATTCTGCACATTTATGAGCTGCACACACTCACACTGACCTTCTGTATGGGGGTTTAGAAGTGTGCTGACTGACGTATTACGCAGTTTAAACAGTGGACAGATATTTCAGTAGTGAAGCATGAGATGATTCCCTGAAAGCAGATGTCTTTTTGGGGACAAACATATACAATGCAGCGATGCTCCTGGCCTTGGTGACTATAGTCATGTGTCATAAGGACAGTTATTTAACTTGCTATTTAACTAACTAACTAGACTACAACACCCATACAATATACCCATACCTGCGCATGTATGCTTCAGACACACCACAGGCAGCCGCACACACAGCAGGCTAAACTCACTCACACCCTGCAGCTCTCTGATACCCACAGCTACTCACACATGCTGGCTCTTGACTCGGCGTCCTGTCACTCCCGTCTTAGAGACTTAGAGTGTTTTATGGTCATTGTGCAGTTTCTTGCACAGCAGAATTGGGTAGCTGGACCACAAAGGTGCAAAAGTAGAGAAGAGAAAACAATATACAACGAGGGGGTAATGTGGAAGGAAACAACGAGAAACACTGTGGGGCTGCAGAAGGGCAGTTATATAATATAATAAATAAATAAATACAATTATTGACATTAAGATATAAATGGAGCCATGGATGGCACACAGCAGCAGAGCCGTAGGACCCATCATTACTATCTCCTAAAGATCTCACAGAAGAAATATAGTTTGGTTGTGTAGTCGTGTTATTGTGATGTTAGGGAGACGTGTGCAATCAACGCTTTTAAGGCTGATGGATTTTTCTGTTTCCACTCCAGTGTTTTTAAAAACAAATGCAAGAATTGTGTTTCGATTATGTGGCATCGCAGAAGTTGTAATTCTTTGTCGTGATGACTTTTGCGCCTGTCATTATTTACTACACAGTGTGTCGCATTTACTTTCTCCCATTCTAAGTGGCAGCGTTGGAAGTGTGTCAGAAACCCCACAGTGGGGCGACAAACTAGATTTCTGCCTCTTCTCTCCTTTGCAGATTGCAGCATTCTGCATTTTCTGATAAAGAAATGACTTGTGTCACTCCCTCAGGTGAGGTTGATGTGTGTGTTACTGATGAAGCGTCTGTTTAAAGCTATGATGAGGAAGTTGTTTTGTTTCTGATGAGCCACCGATCTCTGAAAGAGTGAGGTCGCAGTACTAAAACCCATTTTTCTACATTTCACAAGTCTTACTGTTCATATTAAGCCATAAAAAGCGAAGTGTGGCTTCTTGGAGCTCTGCTGGTCTTTGCAGGCCAAACAGTGATGCGCAGGTTCACTTCCAAATTAGAAACAGAGTGGGAGAGATGTGCAATGTAATGCTTTAGAGGATTACGCAGCACATGCAGCTGAGCTCAGCTTCCACTGGAAGTGTTGTGTGGATAGTAGGGTTTGTTGGTATAACCTTCACATTGTATCGTGATAATTCGAGGAAACTATATGACTTTTACACTATAGAAGCAAAAACTGAATAATGTTCTGACTGCAGCTTGCAGGCAGCAGCATTTATCGGTGCAAACAAAACAAAAGGTGTTTTCCATCCTTCTCTATCAGTGAGAGCGCACCAGCTAACTCAGACTGTGACTCCACAAGGTGCCAGCAGCAGCACTGCAGTGCAACAGTCATGACACGCCATAAAGCGTAAAGTAGTCTGGGTAGTTTTTAATGTTTTGTTTTGGTTTCCTGGGAGTACAGCATCACTGTTTAACACTTTTACTAAAGCAACCGTTAACCTGCTAACCCTGTAACTGTTCTACACTGCAGCACAATAGGAGCATGTTATAAAACTGACGTTGAAGTGTTGTGTCTTTGCTTTTTAACCAGCATTCTGCACTTTAATACTGTGAAGAATGAACAATGCTGAACGACACACATGTGTGTCTTTCACAAACTCTGCAACGTTTGAAAATGGCCGATGCTATATATGCAGTCAGAGAGAGTTTGTGAGCCAGTAGTATATACCCTGTATATGAACGTCTTGCAGCTGGATTAATGCAGGTTGAACTGCACACTTTAGCTCTTATGGCTATAATAACTTTTACCCATAAGAAGTGTTTTTAAAAATGAGGTGACATTTGTGCAAGATTTTTGCTGAGCAAATTAATTAAAGTGATTTATTTGGTGCGTTTGTCTGAGCCAGCTTAGGCTCCAATGTTTTACTGGAATATATTTCTGCAGGCAAACACGCACATAAATCAAGGAACCCTAATCAACTTAGTCATTGTTGGTGGTAATGGTCTCAAACTCTCTGTGTGCCATAATCCATGTTTCTCCTGTGTGTGAAGCCAGCGTGAGCTCTGAGCTGTGCTGCACAGGGAGCATGAATATAGGGCACTGGATGTATACTGCTGTTACAGACTGACATATTCCATCAATAAGCTGATTTTGCAGAACATGAGGAAAGGAAAAGTTGGGATGTGTACAGTGTGTGCCTCGTCTTCTGTGCCTTCAAAGTGCTTAATATATAAGTGTATGTACTGAAACACTGCATGCATGTAACATTTACAGATACTGATTCTGCAAAGTTGCTTGCTGAGGAAGTTATGGTTCAACAGCCAGAGGTTGTGTCTGCAGGTGAGCTTGCGGCAGAACCTCATGGCATCTACAGGTGTGTTTCCTGTGTGACGACAGTCCTTTAAAAACAACCATGAAGGCTTCTGAAGAGATTAGTGTCCATCCCTGCTTAAGTATTAAGTTAATGAGAACCACAGAGGGTTCAAACAAAGATGAACGTTTCCTCAGTGGAAGACATGCTTCCCTCTTCTCTCAGCTGAGTTTGATTCACCAGCTGTCTTCACGGGTGGTGGTTTGCTGATCTGATTGGTTAAATGCCACCTGTGATACAGCAATAGACAAAAGGTGTCTCCCATTACCTGCCAAAACATCCCACATAGTTCTGTGTGCAAAACCATCTGGAGTGTCAGGCAGTAGGCAGGCTGTGCATTTGTAAAGAACTAAGTGAGCATATTCTCTTCTATTTTTGTTTTTGCTGTTCCACACATGCCAGGGCATCAATCCTATTTTCTAACACTGGCTTTAAAAAGTGGCACATAGACATCCTTTGACAGCTGCAGTGGGCTCAACCCACTTACAGCAGCTGAAATGCTTTAGAGTTGGATGCTGTGTTATAAAACTACTGCAATGTCACAGTCGAGCTTTAATTATGCATCAGGAACAATCTGCCGCAAACTTAAAACCATGTTTTGTTAAGATTAAAAGTAAACCAGGGGCTTTGATCAGAGTTAGATTCCCTGCATGCCCCTGCTCTGTTTGTTAGTGCACACTGTGGCTGTGCTCCCCGTTGTTGCATTAATTAATTCCCTATTAGTCAAAGTCTGATGATGAACATTTGCATAGGGTCATGAGCATGCATTAGCTCTCTGAATAGCGTGTGGCATGAATGATTTTAAAGCAGGTATTTTTAGTAGGACCACATATTTTTTGCTTAGAAAGCACCGAGCACTGGGGGGTGGGGGGTACTCTAATGTGGCTCTGCAG